CTCCCTGGGGGAGACACCAGTGCTGGTGATAGGGGCCAGCCCAGCCCCATGCATGGGCAGTGCCGGTCCTCCCCACAGCAGGCTGGAAAGGCTATGACCTTCCTGCCCACACCCCTTCCGCAGACATGGGGTCCTACGTCCACCCGAGCCAGGTCATCTCCACCGCAGCTCGTGCACCCCAGGCTCAGCCAGAGCTGCAGAGGACAAGCCTGATGTGCCCTAGCTTAGTTCCCCCACAGGCATGCTATCCAGGGCCTGCAACCCTGCTGTCATCCCAGGGCCAGGCCACGCCTTGCGCTACCTGAGGATCTGCTGGAAAGAACTGCGGTTCTGTTGTGCCTGTATGACCTGGTCATGTCTGCGGTCCATCTGCTCCAGGCGGCTCTGCTCCAGCACAGCCTCCGTCTCCGCCTTTCATAGCAAGGCCTTCATCTCTCTGTGCCACGGCTCCCTCTCCTTAGCCTCCTGGTGCCGCTTGGCCCAGAAAGCATCCCGCTGGGAGGGAAGCACCGACTGTGCCGCTCAGGCAGCAGGGAGCCAGGCTGAGATACCGCTCCTGCTGCCCCAGGGAGCCAGCCCTGACCCTCGGGCTGCCTTTGCCTGGCTCCTACCGGCTGTATAGATTCTGCTCCATGTGCAGTGCTGCTGGCTGCCACAGCAAAGCTGGAAGGACCCAGGCAAGCTGCAGAAGCTGGAGCAGGAGAGGCTGGTTGACCAGTGCATCCTGGACAGAGGCAGCCGCGTGCGTTACCTTCTCAGCCTGGTGGTCCTGGGTCCTCCCCTGCAGGGCTCTCAGGCGGGCCGTGTCCAGCTCCTTCTTGTGATGGGCCTTCTCCTGCGCCTCGAACTCTGCTTCCCGCACCTGCCACAGCACAGCCCCAGCTCCATGAGCTGCGGGGCCACTCTGAGCTACTGACCCCCTCACGCACCACGCTGGCACACACATCACAGCATCACGTGTGTGTGTGCGTGTGTGTGTGTGTGTGTGTCTCACACTGGCATCATCATGTGTGCATGTGCTCTCACCAGCCACACATGACCATGTGCAGCACTAACATGCATGTGCAGTGTTCACACAGTGGTGCACACACAGGGCATTTGCACACAGTGTCATGCAGACACATGTGCAGTGCCCCTGCATGTAGCATTCAGTGTCACACACATGTGCAGTGCCACACATGGAGCATTTGCAAATGGTGTGTGATCTCAGTGTCTGGGCCCAGAGGAGATCCCTAAAAGGCTGCATGTGCTGATGGGTATGGGCAGCACATGCAAATGCTCCATGTGTGGCACTGCACATGTGTGTGACACTGAATGCTACATGCAGGGGAACTGCACATGTGTGTACATGACACTGTGTACGAATGCTCTGTGTGTGCATCACTGTGTGAACACTGCACATGCATGTTAGTGCTGCACATGGTCGTGTGTGGCTGCTGAGCACACATGCACACATGATGATGCCAGTGTGAGACTGATGCACATGCATGAGTGACCTGGCGTACACACACACACACACACACACGCACACACACACGTGATGCTGTGATGTGTGTGCCAGCGTGGTGCGTGAGGGGGTCAGTAGCTCAGAGTGGCCCCGCAGCTCATGGAGCTGGGGCTGTGCTGTGGCAGGTGCGGGAAGCAGAGTTCGAGGCGCAGGAGAAGGCCCATCACAAGAAGGAGCTGGACACGGCCCGCCTGAGAGCCCTGCAGGGGAGGACCCAGGACCACCAGGCTGAGAAGGTAACGCACGCGGCTGCCTCTGTCCAGGATGCACTGGTCAGCCAGCCTCTCCTGCTCTGGCTTCTGCTCCTTGCACCTCAGCATTTCCTTGTTGATTTGGAAATCCTCTGCATGGGCTTCATTTTGTGCTGCCATTTGTGCTCCAGGTCCTGAGGAAGGTCCAAGTGGGTGGGGCTGCCAGAGATGCCAGGGGGACGCCCCAGCATGGATCCTTGTTCTGTCTCTTCTTTCTCGGCAGCTTCCCAGAGCCGGATGCTGCCGAGCCCAGCTTAAGCCTGCCAGACCTGCCCTGGCCTGGGTCTGCAGGATGGCCCTGCTGCATGGCACTCATGGGGCACTGGGGATCTGATCCTGCTCTTGGATAACTGGGTCAGTGCAGCTCCATGTGTCACGTGGGGCAAGCCCAGACCTGCATTGATGGGGATGGTGAAGATGAGCCCTCCCCTCCCTTGCCCGTGCCATACATACCCTTAGCTCTTCCAGGCGAAGCTGCTGCAGGTGGTCCCATATCTCCTGGGCCTCCAGGTCCTGCAGCTTGGCCTGTATGGCCCTCTCCTTGTTGTTTTTGATTTGATCCTTGAGCTGGTGCTTCCCCCTGGGTGAGACACGTGTCCCACGCTGGTCCCGGGAGCCCTTGCCAGCAGGACCCCTGCAAGGCCAGCTGGGTTGGGGAAGACAGTTCCCAGGATGCTCTCCAGTGGCCAAGAGGTGAGGCTGAGCCCGGGGACATCCCGGGCTCAGCCTCCATGTGAGGTGCTACATGTGTGCCCACATTTGAGGCAGCCCCTGCCTGGCCATGGTGGGAGAGGGCCTTCCTGCTCACCGGATCAGCTCCTGCTTCCTCTTCTGTTGCAGCTGTTTCTGCATCTGGATGGCTTTCTGGTGCTCCATTTCCATCTTCTTGTCTAGGTGCTTCTCCTGTTCCAGCTCCTTCCCCATCTGCTGCTTCTCCAACATCTGGGCATCCAGGACGGCGTGGCACCTGGTGTTAACAGTTTGGGGCAGAATCAGATCCTGCTCGGACACCTCAGACCCTGGGAGAGGCCGAGTGGGGAGCCATCCTCTGACTGACTAGGTGGACCCTGGCACTGGTATTTATTCCCTGCCCCTTTGGTCTTCGTGGCGATGGAATGACACGAGCACGACATCACAAAGCTGCCCATGTCTGGCGCTGTACATGGTTGTTGGAGGGGGGCCCTGGGCCACATCCTGGCCCCTGACTCAGTCTCTCCCGGGGCCTGCAGTGTCCAAGTAGGATCTGATTCGGCCCCAAACTGTTTAGCACTAGGGGGTCCTTCCCTTCCTCTCCATCTGGTCCAGCCCCAACTCAGGGCAGGATCAGCTGTGTCTGACCCCTGCTACATAAGGCTGGGGAGGAGCTGGTTAAAACATGCTCAAAAACCTCTAAGCAGAGGCCCGATCCCCACAGTAAAGGAGGCCACAGGCACCCCATCTCCCAGTCTGTGCTGGTCTGATGGGGGGAGGGGGGTGTTGGAGGGGGTCAAACCCCTTTCTGACCCCCAGTGCGGCACAGAGCTGCCTTGGGCGGAGGACAAAACCATTCCAGGTAGGAGCCCCACCCCGCCACCCCGCTCCGACCCAGCAGGAGCATTGACACCACCTAGTCCACATCCTGGTCTGGACTGCGGCTGACATCCACTGGTGGGCTGAGGATGGTGAAAACCCACAGCAACAGGACCATAATAGTCCTTCTCAGCCCTGTGAGGAGACTAGCCAAGCCCAGATGCCAGGGAGAGCCCTTCTCAGCAACCAGAAAGCCCGTCTCCATTTGAAACTGCTTTCCAGCCAAGTGCTGCATCCCAGAAGCAAGAATCCAGGGCTGGCGTCGGTGCAAGGAACAGCTGGATGGTGGGATTTGAGATACACTGAACATCCTTGAGTGCTGAATCTGATTTTGCCCAAGACATGGGTCTGCCCTTGGAGGCATCTGATGCTGCTGTGTCGCCCCCCAGGGCTGGGCTAGAAATCCACTGGGACTTCCACACACATGCCTGGAAGGAGAAGATGCTGCTCTCCTGCTCCTGCTCCTGCTTGTCCTTTCTGGCTGCACGCTGCAGCAGCCTGGGCGATGTGTCTGGAGTGTAATGATTTTGGGAACTGGAGTTTCATGGAGCGGCAGTAGAGCATGTGAGGAGTCCCAGCCCCTAGAGCCTAGTGCCTGGTGCTGTCTCAGCTCTGGGTCGGTTTACTGTCCTCCCCCATGGGCTGCCCTAGACCTGGGGAACAATGTCCAAGCCTTCAGAGACTGCCCTCGGCACCTTACCACCCTACTCGCTGTGAGCACAGCTGGATTCTGGGATCAAAGTGGGCTCCGCTGCAGAGAGGTGGGTGAGGTGGGATGGGGCGTTGGCATCACTGTCCCCTCGACTCTGATATTGTGAAGGATGCAGTGATGCACTGTGGGGTCTGCCTGCCGCAGCCTGGAGATCATCAGTGGAGCTGGACTTGGCCTGGGAAGGAAACCTCTCCCAGCTGCAGGCTGCAGTGCTGTCAAACCATTGTTTAGCCCAGCTCCTCTCCACATCCTGCCACTCTGCAGGGTCCCCAGGAGTCGGGCAGCCTGGGCACATGGGGTGGGCAAGAGCTGATGGGATACTTCTTCAGGGCATCGGGGCTGAGGTGGGTGCTAGGCTCCTGCAAACACCTACTGCCGTGGTCTGCCATGTGGTAGGATCCCTCTCGTTCCTCCCCACCTTTGCGCTTGCTCTTGCCCACCTCTGACAGGCAGAGCTGTGGTGGGGCTGCAAAGGGGAGCACGCCCATTTCTCAGCAGCAGCAGGTGGGTCTGGGTCCATCAGCCCCACCCACAGAGGGTGTCACATGGGGGCATCTCATGGAAACAGTGAGGAACGGGCCTCTGCTACAAGCCAAGAAAATGCAATATCACTCTGGGCAAGATGTGGGTCCTGCCTTCACCCTAAGGAGTTAGGACCTGCTGGAGTGAGCTGGAGAGTGGGTGCGGGACGATGGCAGATGCACGGTGATATCATGGAGGAAGTCACCCCCAAAACCTTCTCACTTCCTATTAGGGTTCAGGCACTGAAGTGTTCTGCTGAGCGATCACACATTTTTTACTGGTGAGGGCATTTCCTGTAATAAGTGGGGGGCTTGTTACACGATTTTACTGAATGCGACTATGCTCCTGTGCTCCTGGATGCCTGGCATAGTTCAAGCACCCCAATCTTCAAGTCCCCAACACACCCTAGCTGTCAGTACAGTGAAACTGGAGACAACTAACACAAAAAGGTGTCTTTTAAATAGTTATTTAATTTAATTAATGAACTAAAAAAAAAAAAGAGGTCAGCAGAAGATTGATCCATGTTGGGCTCATCAGCTACACCTGGTGTGCCAAAACATTCATTACACAGAATACCTGCAAATCACACTGCAAATTACTTGCAAGTACCTGTGAATTATAGCAGCACCTGGAGGGCAAGGGGGCTCAGGACACATATCATTTGGTGAGTTGACATGTACATGACATGTACACGCGACAGATTTTTTGTTCACAACGGGACAATTTGCCACAATCAAACTAAAATACATCGGAAGGTAGTCTAGTTTGCCATGATGGGGGACAATTTGAGACAACCAAACCTTGTGCATGTGTACACGGTGATGTCATTATGCTAGCCACGTGGCAATTTTTGTTATGTGTACATGGGCAAATCGTCCCGTGTACAAGTGCCCTGTGGAATCAACCCAAGCAGCAGAGTAAATACTCAGGCAGTTCGTTCCACTGAACTCCTCATGGCTGTGACCACCCTGTTAGCAATGTCTAAGCTAGCTCATTTAATGTGAGTCTGCAATGTAGACTTGTGCTAAAAGCTACCAGAATCTGGCCTAACAGCCTATACCCAACTTTTCAACACCAGAATGATCTTTCCTCTTGGCAGCTCCATTTGTAGCTAGTGGGTTTGGATGGAGGGGGCAACATCCCCACCTGGTACATATAGGGCTCCTTTGGTTTGATTATGGCATCAGCGGCTTGGATCCGATCATTTCCCTGCATTATAAAGGAAACTTATCACATTCGCATCTCAGCAAAACCCAGTCACTGATTGCTTTCCCTTCGCTCTGTGGTTTTGGATGCAAAATGCAGATAAGTCTAAAATTTTTGGGGGGGAATGTGTCTTCCCAGTTATCTGTCCAGGCAGTTCCAGAACAAAGTGCTCTGGTGCACCAGTACTACAGTGAAACCTTGATTAACTGAATGGAAAGGGAAGGGGAACTGAATGTAACGGGGTAAGATGTGCATGGGTTGAGAGCAGCAGGGGTACGCTACCTCCCACTCCTCCTGTGACCTGCTCTCAAAAAGAGGGAATTCCTATGAACTGGAGGTAGGTGCTGGGAAATAATCAAGGCTACACTGTTTCTGTTTGCAGAAGGGAGTTTCAGAATAAAGCCCAAGAGAAATGAGCTCAAGTCAAACCCTTCCCACAACTACTGCCTGGGTCTACAGCGCGTGGTCACGCAGGTATGTTTTGAGCTGCTTGCCCGCCTTGCACCCTCCTTGGCTTTCCTGGACTGAGGAGCTAATTTGAGATGCCACAAAAGTGGTGGGCAGGGAAAACTGGGCACTGGGGTGAACCTGTTTGTCTTTACCGGGGTGGGGTGGGAGTGCTGAGTTAATGAGCATCGTCAAGAACTGCTTTAAAAGAAAACAACCACATACAAGACTAACCAAAACACCTCCCCCTGGACCTGACAGACAGGGAGGGGGCTGGGGGCAGGCAGCTTCAGAGGAGATCGAAATCTAAGGCGCTAATATCGGCTATAGGAGCTCTCCAGAAATTAAAGCTGTTGAACTGCAGGAGACTGTCTTCTTCTGAGCTGTCCTTGCGGAGCTGGTGCCGGTCCCCAGACAGCTTGCCCAATCCTCCCTTGGGTTTGTAGATCGCCATGTCAGCCAAGCCCAGACCCTCCAGCTCGGACAGGTCCAGCTCCGGGATGGGCATCCTCCAGTACAGGAAGGAGTCATACTGGGTGTTCATGGTGTCCAGCATTTCTCACTCTAAGGAAGAAGAAATGACTTGTTAAAGCCATAGGCAGCAATCACAGGTGACAGCAGTCCCGAGGCAACCTAGACCATTGTCACTTTTTGATGCAATGTGATGCTTTTACTTTGGCTGGAGCTTGTGCATGATGCTGTCATGGCTAAGAGGATGGGGAGGATCACCTTGTCACTAAGACTCAGAGTTCGATCACCGACTCTCTGTACCACCTAATTCAGGTCATTTCATCTTGTCAAGCCTTGGGTCTGTAGCATGGTCCTAACAATCTTTCCTTGCCTCAACTGCTTTGAGGCAGATTTGAAGGGCTTTTGTCTCTTGTTCAGTGTACATGCAGCATCCAGCACAATTCAGACCTGGTCTTTCTCTCTCCCCATGGTGCTCCTGCAATCCAAAGAGCAATAATGAAATTGGATCTCTCCCAGAAATCTAGGGACTGGTGACAGCCCCTTCCTCGCTCCAAACTGGGTAGATCTTGTATAGCACCAGTTTGCCATGCCACCAGTTCAATGTTGCCCTCTAGTCAAGACTATACTTAATTATCTCAGGTCCCTTGATGGCCCAGGATGGCCTAATGGATAGTGTAACAGACTGCCACTTGGGACACCTGAGTTACAATCCTAGGTGTGTGAGTGGTATACTGCATGCTTCTGTGCCTCGGTTTCCCAGGGTTCGCATTACACTCCGACTTTTGGGGGCATCTGCGGTGGTGGCAGCCGGAAGCTGGAAGGAGCTGCCTCCACCTGAGCTGCTTAGATAGGTATGGGGCGGGCCGGAGGCTTTTGTCTCTTATGGGGAGGTTTATGGGGGGCTCTTGTCTCTTATGGGGGGCTCTCATCTCTTATGGGGGCTTGTCTCTTATGTGGGGGCTCTCATCTCTTATGGGGGCTTATGGAGTGACTCAGCCCCCCTGAGCCCCCCTGTATTTTGAACCCAGCACTTTCCCCCCTCAAAAAGGTATACCCACTAGCGATAGGAAATGCCTTTGGCCTCTGATGCACAGACCTCCTGAAAACTTGTGTGATAGGAAAGGGAAGCATTGAATGATGAGGAAAAGGAAGCGATATCAAGACTGCCTGATTCTAGCAATGAGGAAGTAACCTGCACATGACCAGGAAGAAGAACAGAAATGGGTCAGAGAGTGGGAATGAAAATAGGAACAGAAGTGTCAGCGGGGCTAGCAGCATGTACAAGAAGGATGCACAAAACTGCAGACAGCTCCTTGCACGGGGCCTAGGGTGCAGGCAGGGATATACACACATGTATATGGCCGCATACATCTATGGGTGGGTGTGTATTTACGTGACAGGTGGGTGTGCATAGAAGTGCACACCCAAATGACATACACGCACCCAGAGACAAAGTGCTGAATTCCCTTCTCCCACACCTCCTAGAAATCAGGATGCAGTCCAGGGAGATCAGCTGCGTCTCCCCCTTGTAAAACCAGCCTGTGAAAGAAGCAGATCAGGGACCAAAGGGTCCGTGACTGACTGCAGCAAACCTCTGCTTGTCAGTCCAGCACACGATTTCCCCACCCAGAAACCTCCCCGCTCTCTCCAGCTGCTCCCAGACCACCGGCAGCCATTGTGCGCTGAGCTGCACCCTCCTTGCAGATGGCCCCACCCTGGTGCCTTAGCCGCAGAGCCCCTCCTCTCCGCCCCTCCCCGGCTCTTTATGTAGACGACTCCATCCATTGCGTGGATGCATGGCTCTTTTCATTTCTACCCCTCAATGATCTGGCCTAGTCTCATTCGCATCACATCAGCGGTCTTGTGGCAGGAGGGTGTCATTTGATCCTTGCTAGGATGAGATTATTTCTGAAACGTTGCAGTCGAGCCATGTGAAAACCATGCACTCCTTTCACTTTCACCAGGTCCCGGTTGGATCCTTGCGAGCTGTCCTACCGCCGGATGCCCAATGCACCCTGGAGGCTGCACCCGTCACTGGATGACCCATGCACATCTAAATTTAAAATCCAAAATGTAATCTGAAGACTATGAATGACCATGTCATCCCCTCCTTAAAATGAGCACATGGGTTTAAATAGCATCTTTCTCATGGATATATTTCTGGGTAGCATTTTTTCTTTTTTTTTTCTTTTTGTAGGATGAGAGTGAATTATTAAAATTAGACAGCTTATTTACCACTGGGTAATCTGCTCAATTTAGAAACAGACTGAACCAAGACAAAATTTAGAACTGGGGTGGGGAAGGAACAGATGAGATATTTGATTTTTTTTTTAATTCAAAAGAAAACCCTTCAGAGACTCCTTTGCATTGCATGCCAGGCGCAGAGCTAATAAAAACCCCACTACCTTTATTAATGTGACCATCGTAACCATGCAGGTTAGATGGTAAAAGGAGCCTTTGTTTAGTTTCAATAAGAGCCCACTGCTAAGCTGATTATATATGTATATCTCTTTTTCTTCCCCCTTGAAAGTCCCCAGAAGCTGACACTTCAGCCTTTTAGGCATCCCTGCAAACTCCCAAGCAAATCATCATTTTAAAGAATAAAGTTGCACTTACCTGTCTAAGGAAAGATTAGGTCTACGGGCTGCTTGTACGATGGCCAAGATCTTCTTTATGCCGAAAGCTGCTGGTGCTGAGTATCAGCAGGCTGCGGGATCTCCTGCCCTGCTTTTGTCTGTGCGTCTCCCTCTGCAATGCAGCCCCTCCTAACCAAGCACATTAATTACCCCTCCTGCGAGGGCTGCTGGGCGGATGATTCAGCTGTATGAGCTCCCTCCTATATAAGTCACTCGCCTGCTCTTTCTAATTGGGGAAGGGGATGGGGGCGGAAAGCAGACACAATTTCACTTCCAGTGCAATTTCACCCAGCAGATCTCAGGAGAGGGTTTTATAATCGTGGGAAAGGCAATGACAATAAGGTTTTAGAATAAAATGATCTTGGCCTACGTACCATAAGGCGGGGCCAGCTCCATCCCGTCTGCCCGGCTGCGTGCTGAGAGGTGTGAGCGGAGCCGGGTATGACATTGCTTTTTTTACTTGCTCAGAATTCAAATATTCGGTGTCATTGTGCAGCGGTTTCCCTCTTCTACCCTCGCTTGCCATCCTGTTTCTCCCTGCGGCCCGCAACTTGGAAAAGGGAAAAGAGATGTGAAAGCAAGGGATCCTTTTCAGACTAGTAGATGCCAAAGCAAAGACCTATCTCTTTTCCCCCTATCTATAAAGGAGGGGGGCAAATTGGCTGTCTCACTAGGCCGGATCCGGATTGCAGGGCTTTTCAGGGGCTGGGTCCAGACAGACTTTCGTGGCAGGGTGGCGGTGCCATGGGTTCCTAAGCTGCGGTGTTGGCTCAGGGAGCTGCAGTGGTTTCTTAGCCCACTGCCACTGAAACCAGTCCCTAGTGGGGGCTCCCTGCCCCGAATTCAGTGGTGAACCCTGCCCCCAAATTCCTGAGTCCTTCAGGAGCCCCGTGTGCAGGGTTCGAATTACACGTTGACCCTTGGCTGCCCATCACGATGCCGTAATAGAATTGGAGACCCCCCACCCGGTTATGATTTTCAAATCTCACAGGGGGGCTCTCATCTCTTATGGGGGGGCTTAGCCACCCTGAGCTCCCCCATCATTCGAACCTGCCTGTGTGCCAGATGATCCAGATTCACAGGGTATATGTTTGACATTCGTGTAAAAAGCCACACACACACCCCCTTGGTATACAGCCACGTGACTCTTGCTCCAGCAGTCTGCCTATCACTCTAATAACTCTTTTACACACCTCTGAGTGTGTAAAGAATGACTGTCTTGTGCGTGAGACACTGTCTGGGAATCAAGATATGTGGCTTCAGTGGTTCTGCCATGGCTTTTTTTCTTTATAAAGCATCAGGTCCTGGAGTCATGCGATTATCTGAGACCCTCAACTTTCATTTAAAAAATAGCTAAGTTTTGAGCCCTCAGGATCTGAAAGAAAAATTAAAATGTGACTGGAGTGTGACCAAAACACTAGAACTGGCTAAAAAAATTCTGATGGAAACTTTTTCCCCCCATTGAAAAATCTTGTTTGGTTGAACTAAGAACTTCCTTTGAGGATGCATCAGTTTTCCTCCAACTTGTTCCTTAAAAAAAAAAAAAATCAAATTGTTTGGAGAAGGTAGGAATCTTCCAGGTCGTTTGGGAATGGAATATTTCACATGTTTGTGTTGAAATGCATCTGCATTTTGAGGCTTTTTATTAGATTCTCCTTTCATCATCTAATGCAAAATAATGAGGTCAACAGTGAAATGAAACAGCTGGATTGACCTGAAACACAATTTGCTCTGAGACCTTGTTTCTGAGGAAATTGAGCTCTGTTTTGGAATAAAACCCAGTTTTGATGTTGCTGTATTCCCTGGGAAACAGAACCGCCGGTTTCTGCGCAGCTCTGGGAACTGCTGTGATGGTAGGAGACAAACAAAAAGTTCCTCAAATTGAGGTTGAAACATCCTGATTTCTAAGCCAACCACATGACTTTGGGCACTTGATTCAAACATTTTGAACCTTGTGGGTTGGCCAGAGGGCACAGACAGCTTGGGGGAAGCAGATCTGAACTGTCATTGATCTTGCCAATTCCTGTCTACAAAACAAGGATGATGGGAGGTGCTCAGGCCCAAGGGCAATGAGATGTCTGACTCTGATTTCAATGGGGTTTGGGGATGATGGGTATACAATCATCCCAAAAGGGGTTAGAAGGGTTAAATGGCCTGATGGAGAGCACAAGTCAACCCTGGTCACTGCAGCTGCAGTGGGCGCGAGGCCTGACTTAGCTTGCACCCGTGTTAAATGGCTTGGCCGGAGACAGGCTGGGATTGATTAGATATTTCCTAGCGGGGATGGCAGGCAAGCAAGCAACCCTGATACTGGTTTATCTGGAACTGAGGTTGGTTGTTAAGCCAGGCTGCAGGGAAGGGGGGTCTCCCAGAAGGGACGAGAAGGGTCAGGGAGAGAGGGGCAAAGCACAAGATGATAAGAACTGCTATTGACTGCGTCGGACCATAGGACCCTCTTGCCCAGAGCCGGTCACAGAGTGGATGCTGAAAGGGAGAGTGAAGTGGGTCTGATCACGGCTTTTCCCACCGTTCCTCTCTCACTTGCAGCTTTCAGCTGTTTTGTAACATGTATCTAAACAACACGTGTCGTGTGCAAGCACCTTTATGGTCTAGTAAGCTCTGATTCAGGGGCTGTGCCCCTCACTCCCCGCTCAACAGCGACCAATGCCCCTTTCCCCCAAGCACGTGTCCAGTCCCTTTGTGGATCTGGCTAAACTCTCAGCTTCTTCCACATGTGGGGGCAACAAGTCCCACGCTTTAATTCCAAGCTGCATGAGAAAAAAGGGCCTTGTGTTAGTTTTAAACCTACTGCCTACTAGCGTCATGTTGTGACTCCTAGTTCTTGTATTGCGAGAGGCAGTATATAATAAATCCCTATTGACTTTCTCTTCACCCTTTTGTACTTTGTAAACCCTTCTCATGTCCTCACTCAAGCATCTCTTTTCCAAGCTGAACAGGCCTGGCCTTTTTAGTCTCTCCTCATATGCAAACCTCTCCATAGCACTAATCATCTTGGTTGCCCTTCTCTGGACCTTCTGTAGTTCTTCTACATCCTTTTGGAAGTGTGGGGACCAGAACTGAGTACAGTATTCAAGGTGTAAATGCACCATAAATCTATAAAGGGACAACCTGATACTTTCTGTTTTGGTTACAAGTTCATTCTTATTAATTTCTATTTTGACGGGGTTGAGGATTAGGCCCAGACAAGACGGGGACTCTTATTTTGTGCCTGTTTCAGGTTTGACTTGGGTCTCTGCCACCCCGGCAGGGTGCACTGAACTATCGTGATGCCCTGGCTCATGGGCTGAGCAAAAAATGCTGGGAAAGGCTTTGGAGGAGACTGAGGCAAAGGGGCTGCTGCATCATGCCCTGGTGACTTGTGACACAGCTGTGTGGCTTGAAGGATGTGGGCCTAGGGGATGATGGTCCTGGGTACTGCTGAAAAGAACCAGGCTGCAGGGTCCTCGAGGAACCCGCCGCCACCCTCACTCATCACAGAATCTCCTCTGGCTTTTTAAAGCCTTGCAGGGACATCCCAATGCCAGACATGCAGCCCTTATCTCCCTCTGTTCTCCCTTGTCTGTCCGTCTTGCATTGGCCTCTTCTCTCCAGTGTTTCCACCCTGAAACAAAGAGTCTGATATGTTCGCTGCTTGGGAGTGTTTTAATCTCATTGCCCCCCTCTCATTCTGTATCCTGCCTGCCTGCAAACATCTCTCTTCTCCCTTGTTTCTGCTTGCAGCTGCTCTCTGGGCCTGTCCTGCCATTAGGGGTCACTCGTGCATTAGAACCCAGGCAGAAAAAAACCCAACAAAACCCAAAATCTTTATAGAAAGAATTAAAAGATGCCAGGCAGAGGTCATGTTAAAAACACCCAGGTTCAGTCTCTGGCTTTTACTCAGGCCTTGCCGCTAAAACCTCTTTCTGCTCCCACACACAATGCTCAAACCCATGCTGTGTGGTGCTGTCAACCCTAGTGTTAGGGTAGCTTGTCATATTTTATGCTTTAAAGTTGCACCTGTCTATAGAGTGATGAATTATAGCGTTGTTTAAAGTTTTCTTTACATTCAGCCTAAAGTTCTGTATGGTCTCATTGTTATCTGAACTTTTCATTTTTGCTGGTCTTTGCAATATCAGCTGGCCTTGTTTCTTGCAAGCAGCTTATGGCCTTGAGTTTGCTCGCACGCTGTTTCTTTCCTTTTTCTATCACTGTAAGAAGTTTTTCTAACACCACATAGTAATCGTTTTGTTACTAGCTCAAATTAACTGAACTCGGCACTAATCGGCTGAATCAGAGGGATGAAATGATTGGATATGTTCATGAAAGGCGATCAAGGAGACCAATGCTTAAAGTAAGACACCGGAAAAAGGCCAGATTAAGAGGTGTGCTCGTAATGGGGCTGTTGAAGAAAGGAATATGCTGATGGGATAAAATATGAAGAATATGCTGACTGCAGAGAGACCAATCCAAAAGCAAGGAGTCATCAAAGAAGTCAAGTTAAAGAAAAGCATAACAGGGGGAAGCAAGAAAGTTCAGTGTGTCGTCATTGTCATCATCATCACTTACATCATGAATCCAGCTTTCAACACCTGTCTGGATCATCCCAGCCAACGACGCACCCTTCGCTTCAGGAACTGAGCGGCCGTCTTCTCTGTGAGGCAAAGTAACATCTGGGATTGGGTGAGATCATTGCACTAAGTGCTCTTCTCTCTCTAAATATAAAAACTGCTGAGATAATACTTGTTGTATTAATAAAGTTAGACTTCGATTTTAGGACACTGATTTGTCTGTGTTTGTATTTCATGTTCCATTTAAAGGTTAATTGGGCTTTAACGATCCCTAAGCACTGTCTGCTAGTCAGCGGTGCGAACACTAGGTAGGTCGCCCAGCTCTGGGTTTGGGCCAGAAGGCAGGTCCTACTTCACTCTGGCTGATGATAACCCACCCAGCTTTGCCATAAGGATGAGCGCCAATCTCCCCGGAGTCCTCCAATGCCTTCCCACAATTCCTCCCTCACTCCCAGAACGACAGACACATTTTCCCTCTGTTCATAGCGTGGTCCAGTTGAGTGCAGCACAGGGAACCCTGGGAAATGCCACCAAAAGTCTTAGCAGCCCATGAAAGCAAGGCAGCAGCTATGGGGCTATGGGAACTTTTGCAGCATGACTGCTATGACCTGGGCTG